AGGTTTAGGGGTTAGGATTCAAGGTCTAGGGTGTAAGATTTAGGGAGGGTTCAGGGTTCAGTGTTTGGCTGTTGAGGAACCTGAGCTTCATAGGGATGATATAATGGGTACTACAAGGATAAGTCGGGGGTTTCTATAGGAACTGTGGAGGGGCTACTGTAAGCATTGTATGACGGAGAGTGACTTGGAAAACCAAATGCGCACTGAAATCTAAACTAGAGGGAGATGGAGCACTCAAGTGGATTCAGTCAGTAGATTAAGAAGAATAGGTTCGTGCCGATGCTTGAATCTGCCCGGCATAGCGGCCGCCAGAGACCCAGAATCTCTTCCACAACATGAGCTTGATCAAGCCGTGGACCAGTCCTTGACAGCTTCAAAAGGGGTGAAAACTAAGGGAACCTCGCATGGTAGGCTCAGGGAAAGCACAAGCGCGGGGCAGGAGAGCTTCGTGTTCATGTGGACGACGGTGGCTGCCTTGCTACATGCATATTTGGCCGGGCTGGCTGATTTGAAGCTTGAAGTTTGTTTCTTCGTTGTTACAAGAGGGACAAGTGCAATCCTGATCCTTCTGTGGACTGTGACAGCTACAGTCAGTCGGAAAGCTATCAAGCACGAGAAAGTCGGTAAGACATGATGTTCCCTCTGCTTGTCACAACAATGCTAACTGCTGTTTGCCGCCACGTGGCTAGAATACCTTCACCAAATCCCTTAAGCAATCCTGATCCTCCCCCATCCTAACCCTTGAATCCTAAACTCTCTGACCTAAACTTTGAGCCTTGACCCAAGCATGAACCTTTACAAACCCTAAACCTCTGAGCTGCTAAGCGAGTCCAGGGATGTGAGGCAGCTTTGAACTTTCTCATCTGCGGCCAGGTCTACGTGGTCTGGTCTGCCGCCGAGGAGATCACGGAGATGACTTACAACTCCGTGCTCTTTGGGCTGAATGGGTTTACGGTTTAAGGTTGCCTGAGCAAGTTCATGCTATGTCAATCTACAGCAGCTGCTGAGCTTAGCTTCGTTGAGTAGGTCTTCAAGCGACGCAAAGCAGGTTGTGCAGCGGCCCTTGGTATATCGCGATAGAGGACTTTCAGGATTCTTCATAAGGATTTCGAGCGACGCGTTGACAGAAGTGTGCACTCAGAAAGGTTTGTCCTTGTAGCGGGGTCCTTGCTACCTAGAATCTACGAGGCCTGCGCCTTCTTTCCATGAACTTGACATTATGGACGCTTTCAACTCTTCTCCCCAAGGGCGCTGTCGGCTTACTCCAACAAGCTGCAGTTCATGGCGAGCATGGCGCAGTCGGCGGCTCCTGAAGCACCATCAGCCTGGAACTCATTATGGGATATACTATAGTATATTAGGTTTATATTAGGGTTATATTGGGGTTATATTAGGGTTATATTAGGGTTATGTTAGGGTTATATTAGGGTTATATTAGGGTTATATTAGGATTATATTAAGTATACAATGGTAGCAGCTGCGTTTCTCCAGGATAATCACAGGCTGTATTGACATAGGAATTTTACATGGCTTTTGATGCACATAGGGCATCAGCGAAGTTTCGGGGATGGGCTTACATCGGCCTACCATTTTGGGCGTCCCGATAATAAGAACTATAGTATACTGGAGTCCAATATTGGGATCCCCCCATTTATGGAAGCTACCATTGGGCGCTTTCCGAAGGTGCCGGTGATGACTCCCGGCGTGGCCACCGCGCAGCGACCTCGGTAGCTGTGACCTTCGCTTGCCGCAAAGCACGCCTCAAGGGCCTGGGGGATTTGGTAAGTATATGGGTAGCTTCCAAAATCAAGGTCCGATTTTGGTACCCATGTTGGGAGGCCCCCCCTTCCGGTGATAGTGGTGTTATAGGAATAGGACCCTAATATAGTCCTTGTTATCCCTTATAGCCACTATGAATGGGTGGGGGTCCGCCTAACGTATATGTATAGTCTCCTGAAGCCAAATCGCAATTCCAGTTCTACCCAGTCTTGTCCGACTATGTATAGTCTCCATAAGCCGTAAAGTAATTCCAAGTATACCCAGTCTTGGCCCACTAGGTATAGTCTCCATAAATCATAAAGTAATTCCAGCTATACCCAGTCTTGTCCCACTGTGTATAGTCTCCATACACCATATAACAGTTCCAGATCTACCTGCTTGATCTCAATCTATATAACTTTATATAACCCTTTATGACGCCTATATTATATAACCCCCCCTAAACCGCTATATAGCCCGTATAAAACCCCTATAACCCAGCACGAATCTCGGAGATGGTTCAAGGGTAGGATGCTGCGCTGAGTGTTTGCCGCGGCATGGCTTTGCAAGAGGTCGAAGAGGAATCTACGCCCTTGGCGACCGAGGCCTATGCTACTGGGCTTCTTTTAAGGAGCTTGAATTAAGTTATAATAATAAGGGACATATGTATAGGCTTTAAGGTTTAGGTTTCAGGGTTTAGGGTGTAGGCTTACTCTAATAAGGAAACCTATTGTTTTGCTATATACCCCATAACCTGGTAGCTTAATTTGGTAATTTCCCAAAATAGGGGTACCCCAATATAGACCCTAAAATACTATAGTCCTTATTATTTAGACCCCCAAAATGGTACCCCTAATTTTGGGAAACCGTCATTTGAGCTCCGTAACAGCGACCCAGGTCATTCCGGCTGCGGGACATGCCTTAGAGCTGCAAACCGTCCTCCTTCCGCCCATGACGGAAACACAGGTGGGTAGTATCTAAATTGGGGCTACTACTAGTACTAGTACTAGTACTAGTACTAGTACTAGTACTAGTACTACTACTACTACTACAACTACTACTACTACTACTACTACTACGACGGTCTACTATAGTCCCCAATCTAGACTAAGATTATATCCTCCTCTTTCTGTAAAGAACATAACCTCACGAGGTTCAACCGCCCACAAAAGTGCTACTCAGGTGGAGGTGGAAATTAGTTACTGTGGCCTAAGCCATGCAGACGTTCATATGCGCGACAACGACTGGGGAGTCTCAGACTTCCCCCTGGTTGTGGGCCATGAGGGCTATGGGACCGTTATCAAGCTGGGAAGTAAAGTCCAGAGCCTCAAAGCAGGCGACCAGGTGGGGATCGGTTGGATTCGAGACTCCTGCAGACTCTGTAGTGCTTGTTGCTGGCATCCCGAAATGGTAGACGTTTGTATCCTTGGGGTTGCGCCCCTCGTGGTAACCTTAAACCACAAACCCCCTAAACCCTCAACACTGATTTGGGAAACTGGTTGATTTTTGAAGTCTTTTGAATTTGTGAAGGATGCATTTCGTGAGATCCAAGGTTGCGAAGGTGCGGAAAACCTGTGCGAGACGGGCTACCAAGGACGGGGCAAATTCTGGCGGCCTCACCTCAAATGGTTGCTAATACAGAAGATAATTCCGAATTGACCTACTTTCAGATTCTGAGATTAGTATGAACAGTACTTTCAGGCTCAGACAGCAATTTCACATTTTGAAACTAGCCTTAAAATTAACTTCCGGTTCTGAAGCTAAGCCCCAAAACCCCTTAACCCTAAACCCTAACACAAATTGGGCCGCAAGGCACCTTCCTTGGAAGCTCAGCAGGCCCCTTCGGTAAGGCACCAAGCAATGAGTTTGGCGGCTGCTTCTGGGCTGCTGTGGAGGTTGTAGGACTTCTGGGGTTGAGGGGTTGAGTGTTTTAAGCCTTAGGGTTTCGAGTTGAGGGTTTAGAGTTCAGGGTTTAGGGTTCAGGGTTGAGGGTTTGGGGTTCAGGATTTAGGGTTGAGGGTTTAGGGCTTACAGGGACCCGACCTAGATTCAACATGGCGGAAGCTCCATACAATAGATCAGGGTTCGTTGTCTCCGCGGTTCAACCTCTAGACCCTGAGCCCCAAGCATAAAACCCTGAACCCTAAACCATTTATGTATTGTATATAACCCCCCAAACAACACAACCCCTATATTACAGTAGTTTCCACTTTCTTTTCCATTATCCCTACATAACCCCTATATAACCCTGCAGAATATAGTAGTTTCCATTATCTTTTCCATTATCCCTATATAACCCCTATATAACCCTACATAATATAGTAGTTTCCATTTTCTTTTCCATTAACAAGGAACAGCAGCCCAGGTTTCTCAAGGGTCATGCGCGTCGAAGAGGCTTTTGCATTCTTGCTTCCAGCTCATCTACCGCCAGAACTGGCGTGCACTTTGATGGGCGCAGGTGGTCGTCTCCATACGTGATGAACCAAATGAAAAAGAGCATGGAACATGACATGGAAGCTGGGTTTCTATAGGGAGTATATAGATACATAAATATACATGGCAGTTTCCCTAAATGGAGGGATCCCAGTTTTGGACCCGCCAAGTCGCCAAGTACCATGAATCCTACTTATTAGGACCCCCAAAATGGTATCCTGATTTTCGGAACCCCTCAGGTTGCGCGATGTACGAGCCCCTGTGCACATGGGTGAAGCCGGGGTCCAGCGTGGCTGGGTTCAGCTTTCTTATGATTGTTTCACCTGTAAATTTAGAGTTTAAGCTTAAAGGTTTTGGGTTTCATGGCTTTTTGTTTGGGGCGTTGACAATCCCATGTCGCCAGTAGCACACATCACATATTGGACGCCGGAACCTTAAACCCTCGAAAATTTCAAAACAGGGGTTTGCATGAATAGAGGTCCCCTTTTGGACCCCAATCTATTATCAAATTAGAGGGGCTCCCAAAAATCCGTTCCTAATTCTTGGAGACTCCAAAGTGGGAGTTGGTACCGCAGCCCAGGTAGGCATCGGGAGCCTGGGTGGGCTTGGCACGTTGGGAGTACAGCTGGCCAAGAAGATGGGTGCAAAGGTGCACGGGTGCCCACTTTTGGGGTCTGTTTAAGGATAGCTTATAGGCAGCTTACTTGAAAGGGCCTTGCGCGCATGATAGAGCAGGCCAAAATAAGACCGTCATGGGCAGCTTTTTCTGCAAGAGAGGCTGGTGAAAAGCGCCCTGTGAAGGTCACCGTCTTCAGTCGAGACGCTGCAAAGCGCCAGGCAGCCATGGAACTCGGGGCAGATGGCTTCGTGGATCTTACCAGCTCCCACTCCATGCTAAGGGCTGAGAACAGCGTGGATGTCTTCATAGACACATGCCCCAGGGACAGTGGTTGCGACTTCCTGAGGCTCTGCAAGATCAACGGAACCTTGGTGCGAGTCGGGATCCCTTCTGCTGACCAGGCAGGACTCCAAACAAGCTGGCACCCCTTGATTTTCACTTCCAAGAAGGTGGCTGGCTCCATTGCTTGTGGCAGCATAAGGACGAAGGAGATGCTTCACCTCGTGTCCAGCAACTTGGATTTTTTCTGCCGGCCTTCGTCATGGACAGCTTGCAAGATCATGCCGTTCTCAGAAGTGAACGAAGCAATGAAACAGCTGCAGGAACAGCAGGTTGAATCGTTCCGCATTGTTCTGAAGTGGTAGTCGTGGGCTTGTTTATGTCGGCTCGGCGGCTCCACCCTCCCTCTGTATACCTTTGTGTAGATGCAGTCGGCCTTCCAGAGGCAACAATTCTTTGTGTTTGAATCGGTTTCACTCGGCTGGTGCCAGCCTGCGAGTGTGCACAAACTGGCGCACTAGTCGCGATTTTCAAGCAGCGACGACCGACCCCGGTTGAGGTCAGCAGAGGCGCCTCTGTTTTTTGCAGGATTCCTTTGGTTGAGCCTGCCGAAACGCAAGAAAAACATGAGAGTGCCGGGATATGCCGGCAGATTGAGGCGTGCCGCAGCTGCCAGCCACGACAACTTGTCAGTTTGCTGGGTTCCTACAGAGACTCACACGGCAATGCCATCATACTCCGAAGCTTTCAAAGACTGCAGTTCATGACAGTTGCAAACCATGTGCAGATCGCGTGGATACTGCTCAAAATCAGTGTCCATGTACCACACAAATCTCGACATTGAAGATTTGGACACCCAAGAAGTAAGGGACACCGTCCTAAAGAAAAATCTATCGTAGCACCCAAAATCTCCACAAATCATCCATGGACAAAGCCTCGCAGCATCCCCAGAACTCCAAACAAGGGTTCATATGGAGATTTCCCAAAGTAGGGGTACCATTTGGAGGTCCTTATTATAAGGATGATAATAGTACTTTGTGGTCTATATTGGGGTACCCCTATTTAGGGGAACTACCACATTTTTCAGGACCTCCTACATCCTGAAACCATCTGAAAACCTAAACCCTGAAACTAGTCTCAGCTTCTGCTCTCTGTGAGCTTTGGGATGCAGTCGCAGACAAAAAAGGAGACACCAACAATCCCTCATCCTTCATCTTTAAATCCCGTTCCGGTCCCGTCCGCCTCCAGGAGTCCTCGCCCTAAACCCTCAAACCCTAAACCTTAGATCCTAAACCATCAACCCTAAACCCCAAATCCCTAAATCCCAAACCCCAAATCCCAAAACCCAAACCCTCAACCCGAAATCCTAAATCGGGAGCTTTCAGGTATGCGCACCAACCTGACTCCTCGGCAGCCGCGGCCTCTCCTCCGGAGGGAGGCATGGCTCTGTTGCCTAAACCCCAAACTCCAAATCCTGAAATCCTAAACCCCCTAAACCCTACCCCGAAACCCCTTAAACCCTAAACNNCCCAAACCCTAAACCCCTAAAAACCCTAAACCTGAAATCATGGAGCCAGGTCCGCAGAGCTTCTTCCCGGCCCCCACCAGCGGAGCTGACTTCCGCTTCTGGGTTGCGGTTGGGGTTTCAAGGTTTAGGGTTTTAAGGTTTAGGAATTTAAGGTTTAGAGTTTTACGATTTAGAATTTTAATGTTTAGGGTTTTAAGATTTAGAATTTTGATGTTTAGGGTTTCAAGGTTTTGGGTTCAGGGTTTTAAGGTTTAGGGTTTTGAGGTTTAGGGCTTGGGGTTCAGGATTCAGGGTTCAGGCTTTCGGGTTTAGGGTGTCGGGTTTAGGGTTTAGCTGTAAGGGGTAGGTTTGAATCTCATGTGTAAATTTTGTTACCCTGAATCCATAAAGCCATATATTTCCCGGGGCCCCACACCTTCCTCAGTTTAGGATTTAGAGCGCCGAACCCTGTCGAAAACCCTGAATCCCCAAAAGCCTGAGCCTCCAAAAGCCTTACCACAAAAACCCAAGTCTCAACCCTAAACCCACAGCACAAACCCTAAACCCTAAATATGCAGACCACCGGGAAAATCAATGGGATTGGTGGGCCCTGTTGATTGAGACGGGGCACGCTACTCATCCCTGAGGAAATGCGAGAATGGCAGCCTATAATCCCTTCTATGAGATTATATAGGGGACCATTATAGGGGATATCAAGGCGGGTACTAGGAGTTTAAACAATGGCTGATATGGACCCAGTTTCCATTCAACTTCCATGTGATTCTCCATGACACGGGGTAATATCCTTATAGCCACTAGGTAGCTTGAGCTCCTCAGGGCTTTAATGAGTCTTGACCATTGGGGCAGTAGAGGGGTTCCTGCTACGAGTCAGTCAGATTCCTGGCAATTGAAGTTTTCGAGAACCTGTCCCAGAACAATGTGATCAGGAAAAGGAGCTTTGGGCATTCAGGGATGCCAGGACTGAGGTGCGGTTCCATACTAGCGGCTAAGCTAAACCCTAAACCCTCCAGTATCTTCAAATAGGGACCCTTGAAGAGCCCAATGATCGTCATAGGCGTCTTGTCTTGGCGCTCGCAGCCTAGACCCAAAAACCCAAAACCGCTAAAAGCTAATTCCTAAACCCTAAACCCCAAATTCCTAAATCCTAGACCTGAAGCTTTAGCATTCAATCCCTAAGCTCTATCGTATACACCCCCATCCATGCCTATGCACCCTTGTATTCCCATACAAAGCTTATACTTGATAAATTTATGTTCCCTTGTATCGCTACAAAACCCCTTATACTTGCATAATTCTATGTTCCCTTATATCCATATTGTAAGACCTGCTATACTTGCACAATTTCATGTTCCCTTATCATACCCAGATTATAACGCCCCTTATACATGCACAGTTTTATGTTCCCTCATATCCCTATAATGCTTGCACAGTTTTATGTTCCCTTTTTCCCCATAAAATCCCCTACGCTTGCACAATTTTATGTTCCGTTCTAAGCCCTAAACCCTAAANNAACCCCAAACCCAAAGCCCTAAACGCTAAACCCGAAGCCCTAAACCCTAAACCCAAAGCCCTAAACCCTGAACCCTAAGCCCTAAACCCTAAACCCACAACTTCCCAGGCTCGGCCGCCTCAGCTCCGGCCTTCGGCTCAGCGGACGTCGCGGCGCCGGCGCCGGCGGAGGGGTCGGCTCAGGAGCCCCCGGCGCCGGTGGAGAAGGACGGGATTATGGGTCTAGGGTTTTGGGTTTAGGGTTTAGGGTTTAGGGATCAAAGCCCCAATAATGGAGAATCAAATGGAAAAGAAAATGGAAAATTAAGTGGAGACTGCTCTATATATATATATATAGGGTTATATGAGGGTTATATGAGCTTTAGTCTAAACTCCTTAAAGGGGGGGTATATAGGGGATTATAAAGGGGAGTAGTATAGGGGTCATTAAGGGGATACTAGGAGTTTAGACGATGGCTCATATAGGGATCAAAGAGCTGCTATATAGGGATTCTATAATTAAGGGTTGTATAGGGTTCTATAAGGATCATTTAGGGGCTCAATAGGGATATGGCAGCGGTGGAGAAGGACCCCAAAAGTCAGAAATTGGGAGTTTCCAAGGGTCTAGGTCCCTTCAAAGTGGGTTCATAGGGGAGGGGTTGTATAGGATTGTACGATACATATAGTTTCATCTAAAAACTTAGGGCCTCGTTTAAATTCCAACCACCCAAATTCTGAATAATCAAACGGAAAAGAACATGAGAAATGAAATGGTCAGGGTCTTTTCTGGAGTCCCTTATAACGAGGGGTATCAGATTTTTGTTTGATATTGGGATCCTCCCCTTGTTTATGAAAGCTACAGAAGTGGTTTCAAAGACTTTAAGTTTGTACCCTTAATGTTTGTATTGTAACCCTAGGTCTTGGGTCCCAAATACCCTTGTTAAGGACCATATTCCATTGTTTAGGGACCCAAACCCAAGGGTACAAACGCTAAGGGTACAAAGGAAAACTCCCTCATGGTGATTTCCAGCCACCTTTTGGGTGTTTTCCTTTAAGGGTGTAGGTTTACGGTTAACGCAGTGTAGGGTTTGGGGATGAGGTTTTAGGGTGTTGGGGTTCAGGATTTGGCGGTGTAGGATTTAAGGTTGTCGCGTTTAGGCTGTGTAGGGACTAGCCGAGCATCCTAACTAAGAGGAAACTACGGGGATATTTAGTCATACATTTGGATAGGTGCGGAGGAATATGGGGATATGTCATGATTGGCTCAGGGGCATAGAGGGCATCTAAGGAAGAGTTTCTTCTGTGGCTGCAAGTACCGTCGAGCTAATATGGCTTCAGGGTTTACCGACCGCTTGAGGATTGTAGTTAAGGTTTGTCAGAGGGGCTGATCAGAAGCCCCGTGTGAGCGATTTTGTTGCTGGTCATTCTTGACTACTGAATTTCTGAAGTGGCATTCCCATCTTGAGCATACATGTGATGAGATTTAGTACTCGTCTTACAATAGGGAAGTTGCATATTTTCGCTTTTCACAATTCTTTTTTATTTGGGGGGTGTTTGGTCTTACTAAGTTTTTTTTGGTCCCTTCCCGGTGGATCCATAGCATTGTGAGAGCTTCCCAAATATTCTAAGCAAGGCACCCAAAACCCTAAATCCTAATTCTGTAGGACCTGACGCCGCAGTCGGAGAAGAAGCCCACACTAGGCCCCACGCCGCAGAGCGCGCGGTCAGCCGGTTACGCCCTCAGCCAGGGAAAAAACAAGTAGACCACAAAGGGTTGCACCCCCGCCCCTTCGCCCCCACCCCTGCTAACCACCTACCCCCTACCCCACTCTCCTCTGCTTCCCCTCCTACCCCGTCGCCCGGTAGATGTCAAAAGATATGGTCGGTTCTTGAATGCCCGAGTGCCTATGTTCTCCTCATCTGCAAGCAGAAGTTTAAGTAGTGAAGAGCCGCCAAGTTTCAGTGGTGTATACAAGGACGAAGAAGGACTTCAAACGGGCTCTCATTTCATAGGAAGTCCATGTCGTATTGTAGCTATACGTATCAATCATGGACAACATGACGCACCGCTTGCTTTGCAATGACCGTCAAGCAGGCAGTGCTCTCTTTTCCGGGAAACCTCTGAAACCAGTTCGACTATGGCTCTTCTGAAGCCCGTTCAGGTAGAACCCCTAGGCCAGTTGTGTTATCTCGCAAAAATGTGTTATCGCCGTCCTCGTAGGGGCTTATTGTGGGTGTTTGCTCCAGATGATCCCTGCGGGACCCCCGTGCGTTTCTTTATCTATCTATCTATCTATCTATCTATATATGTATATATATATACACGAATATATATATATATATGTATACG